AGAAGATATAAAACAAAGTTCTAAGCTAATCGACCTTAGTGTTCTCCTTTTTTAAAGAGAATCGATAAAGAATCGAATCGTTAAACAGAATCGAAAATGGAATCGGAATCGTGAAAATCTTATCAATACCCATCCCTACAAACGAATGTAGTTTTTCTTTTGCTAAATGATTAAAATATTCACAAACAGATTTAATCATTTATTATGAAAGCATGAAGTGCAGTTGTGCTAGAAATGATAATTATTTGGCGGTGGCGCCACTGTCCGGCAGCCTCGCCATTGTAGCCAGGGTGGCTGTGGCTACAATGTAGCTTGCCATCACCAATGTGTGAATGTGTGTGTGAATGGGTGGATGACTGGTTGTGTAAAGCGCTTTGGGGTCCTTAGAGACTAGTAAAAGCGCTATACAAATACCATGCCATCTCCGTGGCACATGTGCATGTGTGCGTGGAATGCAGAGCCATTGTTCTGCGTAAATGTCAGACAGGTGTTTCAAGATTTCACCTTGCAACCTCCAGTTGGGTTATATAATCATTAAAAAAACCTTGCTGTGTTTTACTTACTGAATGCATAAGCACAAGAAGAGTGAGAGTGACAGGTGTTTGTGTGTGTGAGTGTGAGTGTGCGAGAGAGAGTGAACTTTAACCTGCAGACAATCCAAAGAGGTGCTAACTATCCGGGGGGACTTAGACTGACACGCCAACTCAAAAGGCAGCACATATTTATCAGCCTCGATGTAGTTGGCTCTGGGCGGGACCACGGTACCATCCCTGGAGGAAGGAAAGGAGAGCAAACAGCTGAGAGACCTGGCAAAGCTGCATCAAGAGCAGATTTCTATACACACAATGTATAGAGTGTAAGCTGTGTAAGCTGGAGATCCTCAACTTCATGATAATGACACAGATTATGTGAATAATTCAAATGTTATGTCAAATCTCTTATTCTGCAGTCCTATTATCATAGTCCAGAACTCTCACAGCACAACGACATTCAGTCGAACAGGCAGCTCGTCTACGGCAGAAGGCACATTGCATTGCAAACACTATCCCATAATCTAAATAAAAATAGAATGCAATGATTTCTAAATCATTCAAACTCTATATTAAAAAAAAAGCTGCAAAAAGACATATCAAACACACAACAAGGATTTTATTTGTTGTCCCAACACACCCTTGCTCTGAATTTCATGTCAGCAATATGTTTCAATAAACTGAGACGGAGCCATTAAAGGACTGGACAAGTTCCACAGCTCTTTAGAAAAAAACTTCCCTGATGGAGTAATTGTGTTAATTGCAATAAGTAAACTGATTAGGTATAAAGACAGGATCCCACAAAGGCTGATTCATTTAAAAGTAAATACAGAGGGAGATCCAATGCTCCACGTATTTACTGCTAAATTAAAGTAAACGTTTCTTTATGGATTTTCTCGTCTACAGTGCAAAATATTAACAACAGATTCAAAGAATCCAAAGAAGTCTGTTAGCAACAATATTAAATTGCTGTGACCTTGTAGGTCAGAAATCCTGCAGTGGAAATCACAACATGGACTCTTTTTGAAAATGAACATGGCTGCAGGCTTTTCCAGAAAGTAAAACAGAAATGTTGGCTGAGCTACTTTGAGACAAACAGGACAAAATAGTAAACCATCCTGTGATCTGATCAATCAATGTGGAGGTTATTTTTCAAAATGATGGAGTGCAGTTGGATTAATCCTGAACAACTGAGGAGCTGAAAGTCTGTACCAAGCAAAAACGGGAAAACAACTGGTCACTTCCCATATTTCTTTCAATAAAATGTCATCTTTTAACATTTGATATGTTGCCTTTTTACCATAAGGAATAGATTTTTTAAATACATTGTTTACAAGCAGTCCTCCTATTGCAGTCAAATCACAATGAAATTCACAAGCAATCCTTATTTCAAGTTCTTACCCAAAATACCAAGAAGAAGGAAAAAACTTTCAGAGAAAAAGAAAGCTTTGTATTTAGGAATACTCACTTTTGTTTCTCCAATTCTTCCTTGATTTCATCTGTTAGAGGAAAGCACAGGAGATTAAATGTTACTGAGGTCTGAACGCGACCGTGGCTCAGGGGGTTGGGAAGCGTATCTGTAACCGGAAGGTCGCCGGTTCGATCCCTGGGCTCTCTGTCCTGGTCGTTGTGTCCTTGGGCAAGACACTTTACCCTACTGATGTTGGCCAGAGGGGCCGATGGCGCGATATGGCAGCCTCGCTTCTGTCAGTCTGCCCCAGGGCAGCTGTGGCTACAACCGTAGCTTGCCTCCACCAGTGTGAATGTGAGAGTGAATGAGTAGTGGCATTGTGAAGCGCTTTGGGTGCCTTGAAAAGCGCTATATAAATCCAATCCATTATTATTATTATTATACTTTAAATGGTGACGAAAACATATGATTCTCCTTCCTTTTCACACAGTAAGAATGTGATGTGAGGTCAGTTCATTCCTCCAAAGTGTAAAAATTAGTACTACACATAAATATATAAAAAGGTATGAATAATACTCACACGCTTTTTTAGTCACGTGGCTGCTGCTGACAACGATCGTCTCTTTCAGCATACCTAGTTCATCATTAAATACAGTATCGTGCAAAAGTTTTGAGCCACCACTGAACCCTTTGTTTGTTAAGACACTTAACACTGACCAGTGACTTATTTAAGCATAAGAAGGCACCTAACTCAAGGGATGAACTAGCTTTTTGTCTACACATGACAACTTAGCAAAGAACCAGTTTTAAATTGGACCAAAAACACAATTTGTTTTCATTTCTTTAGGGGAATCTATGAAAAATGCCAATGATACCACAGTTTGACAGACATAAAGAATTATTGCACCAACAATGGAATTCCCACAGAACTATAACCCAAAAACTTTGCATATTTCACCATGTTGTGCATTGTGTCCTTAAAGGATTTGAGGAAAGTTGACAAGTAGAGGACAAAAGAAGAAGTGGGAGGGCTAAAAAATAAACAGTATCTGACAATAATGTCCTTAAGAAAATGAGAAATTGCAGCACAGACCTGACACAAGACCTGAGAGATACACCTGACCCCAGCCCTTCAGTTAATCCACCTACTGTTTGCTGAAGCCTCATTAGAATTGGTTTAAGTGGAAAAGGCTGCCAAATTACCCATATCGGGACAGAAAAACAAACAATGGAACACTATCAGTCACAGACTGGCCTCCACAAAACCCGACCTAAACATTATTTTCGGAATGTGGGATGATCTTGACAGAGAAGAGATCAAAAGGCAGCCAACATCCAAAGAAGAGCTTAGGAATACGCTTCAAGAAGCCTGGACAACTATTCCCAAAGACTGGTTAGAGAAATGCCAAGAAAGCTCGTCTAAGAGAGTTGAGAGAGCGTGGAAAAATAAAGATTGTCACAGCAAATAGTGACTTTTAAGCTCATGAGAGTTGCACAAACTCTGTTTCCACCTTATATCCTGTAGTTTTTATTTATGTTTGTGTAAGTTTAAATAAATTGCTGCACCCATTTCCCATGCAAAACATAAAGACATGAGGGGTGGCTCGAGACTTTTGCACAGTACTGTATAAACTAATGCAAGACAGCTTAGCTTTCAGAACAAGGTATGTGTGGCAGTGAGGGGGAAAAAAACTGAGGTATTCATGAGACTTGCCTAAGGCCACATTGACTGAATATCGGGAACACACTAAACACAGCCGTGAGGCGTTGAGGGAACACGTGTTGTGTTCAAGTGTCACATATGAGAGTCAAACACGGCCAGAGAGCACACAGAGCAGCCCCGCCTCGCCCACCACCACTCAAACACGTCCTTAAACTGCCTGCACCCTAATATTGTGGCACAAGTTGTTTCCCCAATTTCTCAATGACCTAGCAAAAAAACAAAACAAAAAAAAACCCCGACAGAGACAAGCACCTTAGAAAGCAACACCACACTCCGGGCAGCTTTTAATGTCTTTAAGTCCAATAAGACACTGGTCGCTGACTGTCACACAAACAGGCAGAGCAGTCTGAGCTGAAATACACACAGCAGTGCCGTAATGAAGTAAACAGCTCGGCGTGTGCAACACTATCTGTGACTGGGTTGAATGGAAAAGAACCAACGTCAGAATATCCTGGAGTTAGGTAGCGTGTGTGCGTGTACAGCCGGACCAGGCTGTCTGGCTAGTTGACAGTGCTACGTACAACACAGGGATTGGTCTGTTTAACTAGCTAACCTAGCTACAACTAGCTAACGTCAGTTAGCTACGTTAGCATGTTACCCTGCCGATGTCCGTTTAGAATGCGGCTGTGGCCGGATATGAACACAACAAAGGTTATAATTGAGAGTGAGAATGCTGTCAACACATAATTATCTGTCTGTAAACATCAACGAGGAACCAAACACGCGATAAAGGCCATTCAGTTGTTAACGCTAGCTAACTGGGTATCTCTACCATAAAGGCAGACCTCAGAGCGAAATGTTTCAATGCAACGCGACAGAAACATAAGGCTCGGCGAGCCAATGTTCATAACAAACCCACTTACCTAGCGCCACCTGGCAGGCTTTACGCAGCTGGCTGTGCTGGCTCCTCTTCACCTCCTTATCCGAGAGGATTTTCTCCAGCGCCCTGGACAGAAACATGCTCTTGGTTTTGCTGTTTTCTGCCTTCGACTGCGAGTACTGCTGCTGCTGCGGTGGCCGGTGTTGTTGCATCTCTCGATCTTGTTGCCGCTCCTCTCTCAGGCCGTCATCTTCGGCCTGGTCCTGCGAATTAGCAGGTGACAAGGAAAAGCTAATGAAAACCAGGCTATCACAGTACGTCCAGTAGAGCTGCTACCTCAACTCAGCGCCGCCATGCTGGGTACACGTCATGTCACATCACGTGATTCTCAGCTGTGTGGATTTTGACAACGGCACCTCAGGTAATCGCTCAAACCTAGTTAAATAGAGTTATACCAATGGAAGAAAAATGTATATTGTTCGAATCAGACATAATAAATGATAAACATTCCGTTTTCAAAGCCTTCGAGTTCTGTAACTTAAGTTAAAATACTCATTTTCATGTTGAATATTAAGCTCGCTCACGTCCTGGAATATCCTGCAGATGGCGCCCAAACTCCACAAAGTATTTATATGAATGCTACTCAGTTCATCTACCGCACATACTACCTGAAAAGCAGGTCAGTGGCATCTTCAGGATTTTTTTTTTTTTTTTAATTGGAGCGGCACAGGAGGGAACAAGAACAAGCAGGATGTAACAGGATGTAACAGCAACTGAATTTTTAATAAGACCTGCTTGCAAATTGGTTAAAAATTCAGCCACTTGTAACAGTTTTTATTTGTAGACAGACCCCCAGCTTCCATAACCTTGATTTAGGCCGCAACAAAATCCAACCACTGACTATTGCTACATATTAGTTTATTTTATATTTTATCCAGTTCCTCCAATCAGCAGTTACAGGTATATATATATAGATAAATAAAAGCATCAATATGAAAATACTGACAGACAATCTTCATTACAAGTCTAAAACATAGAATTTATCTGGCAAGCAACAATCATTGCTCGATCACTTAAAAAATTTCTGACAGAGTAAAACATTTAGCCTGTTTCAAGGTTGCTTTAATACATGTTTTTATTCCACAGAAATCATAATTCACAGTATGAAAAAAAAAAAAACAATAATGGTGTCATGTCTTGCACAGACTTTCCTGTTGCTTCAGCCAGAACCGTAAAATCACCTACTGAAATCATCTCTAATGGACAATAAAAATCTACTGTACCGTGAGATTTATGACCAAAAACAACAATCACAGATAAACAATATATCAGTTATAAAAATAAAGTCATAAAATGTGTACAAAGAAAGAAAAATATGCCGACATCTGATTAGAGAATAAATAAAAATGTTGCTGTGGTTACAATCCCAGTGTCCTGTGGTAAAAGTAGAGGAAATAAATTAACAGTGACTTCTAAAAGCCTTCCATCCAAAGTACGACTCATCGCTGTGCTTTAAGATCGGGAATGAAAGAAGACAAGTCCCACCAGCATGTGCTGTACCATAAAAAGGCCCAAAACACAGTACCTTACACATATAAGTTACAATAAACAAGTGGGTGGTTATACACAACCTGTGTGAAGGTTTCTAGTCAATGATTCACTGTGTAATAAACAATAAACAGAGCTATAAATGATAAACATTAGTGCAGTGGTGTTTCACTGGAAGTGCAGTGTGTGCCAGCCATGATATTGTGGGTGAGATAAAATCCATGCTAAAGTCAGGGTTAAAACTTTTAACAGGAAAAAAAAAATCAATGAAAGAAATAATAGACCATCTGCTCTCACTTCAGGGAGGCAGCAGCTTGTAATGGTAATGGTGGATCTATAGTGTGCTTTCAATAAATGTTGTGGATCTGCTTTATGAACAGGAACTGTGAGAGTTACTTCTTCACTCAGACATTGTGAAATGTGAGTGAATTCAAACTGAATGGTAGAAAAAAATCAAAGTAAACGGACGTTCATTACAGACAAGAAATCATCCTACTGAAACCACAAAAATGCAGGTCAGGGCCAAGATATTCTGTACACAAGCCAGCCCTGCCTCACCTTTATCAAATACAGAGAGTGAATCAGCTTTTGCCTTGCGTGCGTGTTTGTTTCACCGTGACTCAGTCCTACAAGGGCGTACTTTGGAACCAGGAAGTTTTTCACTTCTGACTATGTGAGCCATTCATTTTAACCCACTCCTTCATGTCAGCCTCTGTCAGTGCGCCCCAGGGCAGCTGTGGCTACAATGTAGCTTGCCATCACCAGTGTGTGAATGTGTGTGTGAATGGGTGGATGACTGGTTGTGTAAAGTGCTTTGGGGTCCTTAGTAGCCACTGTAAAGACAGTTGTTAAGTTACATTATCTGAAGTGATTAACTGAATTCAATAATAATACAATGAAAAGCAAGACATGTTGCAATGAGACGGCACTGAGATTAGATGTACTGAGTTATGGTCCAAAAAGAAGGAAGAGGGGAACACTATTGCAAACTAAATTAAAAATCCCATTCACATCGTTTCTTCTGTATACATGCAGCAGGGGAAATAGCCCTTGTCGTGATAAGGAAAAGTTCAATATGAATGAAATACAACAGGGAAATTAACTAGAAGATTTCCTAGTCCAACAACTTCTAACTGGTCAAATAAAAAACAGCACTGTCACTTGCGGGATCCAAGTATTAATAATAATAATAATAATAATAATAATAATAATAATAATAATAATGACAGGATAGGAAAAGCCCAAGGACAAGATGTGCAAATATTTATCAAAATCACCAATCTTTCATTTTTTTTCTTTTTTCCCAGAGGGAAAATTCTGCACTCATGCTGTGGTTACCTGGGAGAAGGCAGGCGATCATAGCATGCTTCAGAGTGACAAGAGAAAAAGAAAAACCAGTGTTTTTGCTTTACGGGTGATATTAGCTTGTTAGCATGACTTAAAAAGAGGAAATATGTGATGGGTATGGATGGGCTTCCTATCTCTGCCCGCTAAAGGAAGTTCGGCGGAATAACAGTTATGGGATTAAAAACAGGTGCGTTTAGAATAAACAGAAACAGTGGACACTTTCAGGGGGTTTTTCTGTTGTTGTTTTTGTGGCTGCAGAACCAGGAATCGGGGCTGTCACTGCTATGGCACAAATATGTGGTCATTGGCATTCAGAAGAGCAAAGTATGGGGGTGTAGTGTTTGATGTGAAAGGACAAATTTAGTAGGTCGAGATGTAATACGCAGACGTATGTTTGTGCTTCTCAGGTTTAGTCACTGTGAGATGGAACTGTACGTTCCTGGGTTTTATTTGATTTCTCCATCAACCCTCCATGTGTGTTAAAGTACAAGAGTGTTTATTTCTCTGGTCTCCAGTGTGTAGTGTGTAAAATGTCCAGAATGTCCAGTCTACAGCGTTATAACAGTACCGTCCTCCTCCAAACTCCCCCTCTCCATGGCTCTGTCTGGGGACGGCGTTGTAGCCTTGATGTTGCTTAGGGAACTACTGCTGCCACTGGTGGGCAGGGTCCCATTGGTGTTAATGGAGAAGGTGGAAGTGGTGGCGGTGCGGAGGTTGAGGTGTGGTTCGTAACGAGGCAGTGAGCTCATGCTGTGGTTGGAGGCCACATGTCTGATTGGCTCAGCCTCGCCTCCAGCCTCGATTACCAAGTCCTCTTCATCTTCATCGCTCTCCAACTCCCCAACAGGGAAGTTCTGGATGATGTGTGGTGGTATGGAGGCTGCAGCACTGTGTGACGAGTAGCCGTAGTAACTGGCGCCGCTGTCTGATGAGCGTCCTGAACTACCAGATGCTGCACCCCCTCCTCCGCCTACTCCACTACGAACGATATTGTTCCGCTGGTTGGCAGGCTTTACGGTGATGATGAGGTTGTGGCTGTTGGCGATCATCATGTCTGTCACCTGATCCAGCGACTTCCCAGCAACCTCGATACCATTCACTTCCAGCACTTCGTCATTAACCGCCAGTAGGCCGGTGCTCTCCGCAAGCCCACCTGGCACCAAGCGAGAGATGAATATTCCTGGGACTTTCTCCAAGCCCTGTGGGGTGACCCGTACACTGGAACCATCGCGGATGTAGAAACCCAGTGGTTTTTCCTGGCCGTGCTTGTACAGACGAACACGTCGGTGCGTCTCCGGGAGGATGTCGACGTCGATGATGGACGATACAGGCCGGAAGTCTTTAGGGAGGCTGATTATCACTGGAGGTTTTTTCTTGTTGTGATCAGGCCGCAGAAGAACCGCAGAAAGCACAGTGTTCTTCTTCCTGGTCAGGGAATCGGTACCAAATGTTCCATGATCAGCTTCCTCTGTTAAGTAGAAGACAGGAAGTAGAGAAATAGAAGAGGAACAGAGAAACAAAGACGATGTTAATAAAAGCTGGTTAATTTTTTCAGTAATACCACACTAGGCTCATTACACATCAAATTGTTATTCAAGCTGACACAGTGTTGCATCATGCAGTTTAGAAGAATGAATAATGATTTGCTCTCAGCCTGAGGCATACCTGCAGGGCGTCTGTGCTAAACATACACAAGACACTGATCCCTATAGCTCCCCTCAGGTTGTACTGATGCAAAATGGCACACCAGCTACCTCAAGTCAACTCCCATCAGCTCTCTCTGACACACAGCCACCCACAAATGAGCTTACTTATGTTGCATACAATCTCATGAACCGAGTAGATAAAATATATTACACACAAGATTTTAATCGGCATATTCTTGGTATCAGATCGTCAACATGCATCTGTTTTCTCAGCCTTGGATATGCATCTTCATTGAAAATAAATAAATAAATAGAGTGCCCTTATTAAAATCAGCAAAGAAGAGTACAGGCATACAACAAAGCATTACATTCAGTTATGCTGTTATCACCACTGGAGGGAAGAAATTTAATTTTCATAGTAATGTAATAATTATTGTATTAATTTGCAAAGAGAACATGCAATTCTAAATTATAATTATAATATTAATGGATGCATTAATTTCATTATGCACACACCACTGCTATGATAAAGATGCTTTAGGAGTCATAGCAGCCATGACCCTGTCAGTGCACTGCAGTAGGCTAGGCCCTGATCCACAGCGAGTTTAGAACAAAGGCTGGGGACTTAAAGTTGTAGTACACATTTGTATGGGGTGCTACACTATGGATTACTTGCTGTGGTGACTTCCTGGACTCCATCCAATCCATACCAAAGTTCAAAAAATAAATTTAAAAAATATTACATCTTAATTAGCAAACTTTAAAAGTGCTAGTAGGCAAATTTTTGTTAGGTTGCATATTTAACTATTAAGCTAAGCAAGGCTGAGCTAAGACGAGCTAAGCATCTCCTGGCTTAAATGATATCAATGTCATCATGTCACTTACAAAAAAGCAAATGCTGACCGTCTAACTTTTTACATCACACAAAGGTCACATTTGAAACAAAAACACTGTTGTGTTTTGGATGTCACCATCATACAATGCAGTACAATTCCACCACGGCAAGCAAGACAGGCACTGCTTGCCTCATGAAATCTAAAAACAGAGCTCAATTAAAACCAAAGTGAAAGCAATCACTGTCCTTGCATTGCAAACAGCATTACAACCCATAAGCTTCCCTTTCTGCCTGTTTGTGCCATCCATTAAACTACTGCCATTCTGTAACTGCAGTCAGCTATTATCTTTGGAAGAAGGCTTAACTTTGCTTTGAGGCCAGCAGCTTTTTCTGGTTGTCTGCAAATGCTTGTGATCTTTGAAAGGACACTGATGCGAGACTAGCATGTTAGACAAGCTCTAGATTAATTTTTTTTTCTTTTGATACAATTTGGTAAATTATCACTTTTAAATTTCACAACCAGGAATGAGTAGGGCAGGGATGCTAAATACAAGACCCAGGGGCCAGAATCACCAAAGTAATTAAAAAGTAAATAATATATTATATAACAGAAAACGATTAAGAAATAGAAATTTCAGGTTTGTTTTTTTGTTGTTGTTTTATTTTTGTTTTTTTACAATGGGTAGTTAAATGCATGGTTAAACTTTGTGACAGACTAAAAGGTCTGGCCCACTTAAGATCAAAGTGGGTTGTATGTGACCCTCTATGTAAAATAAGTTTGGCATCTGTGGAGTAGGGTTTTTTTTAACAGTACTATAATTTCAAACTTGATAACCAGTAAAATACTCAGTACCATTTTGAATGCCGTGGGGAGCAAAAGATGGCAAAAAAATATTTTAGGCTTTATTTTTTAAAATAAAAACAATACAAACAATAACATTAATGGCACTATTTATGCTTGCCTTTTCGTAAAAGTCCTGACATGGGTGGCATTACAACAAGGCCTAAGGCTGGCCAAGGTAACGGAGGGAAAAATATGACCCTTGGCTCTCGAATAGTTAACCAGTATACAAGAAGCTAAACATTAACATCTTTCATACTCTTCTTTCGCCTCTTCTCCAGTCCCTATTTTTGTCTGTTTCTGGTGATATTTTTATCATCTCTATTTTGAATGAGTCTTTAACTTGCCCACCTTTTCCAAATTCATAATTTTTTCCTGTTTTGACAGCACTTTGTAAACTCTGCTTTTAGATAAAAGAGCGCTATTAATAAAAGAAAAGAAAAAAAAGGAAAAAAAACTGTCAGTCTTACACTGAATACCTCTCCCCTCACAGTTTGTTTCTCCCTCTGAACATGTATTTGAGTAATCTGGGAAAAAATCCACTCGGGTGTCTGATAAGGATTCAGCTTCTCAGGTTCTGACAGGTACACACCCCACCACTCCCCTCTCCATCCCGAAAGCCAAAACAAAGGATCGACTGTCCCGAGAAAGAGTGGCTGTCTTATGTTTCAGTTCCCATGAGGCAAGAGTTAGTGTATACACTTTTACTATATCTTTGCCAGGCTTGATCTTGTGGCTCATTTCCACATGAAGAAGAAATACAGCTTTCTTCGAAGAACTAGGTAAATGCTAAAACACATTTCATCATGCGTGCTAGGTTCTTGTTCCAAAGAGCAATATGCAAATAGTGCACAGATGGATGTTTTGAAACACTTGCACATGCGCATATATGCACGTCCCTGCACAGCCGACACAGAGGTTGTTCTTGCAGTGCAGTCATGCGCAGCTCCACATCTCATTTCACTCTCTCTAGACTTCTTTTCATCTAAACCATCTCTCCATCTGCACCATATGAAAGGACCAGACCTGACAATAGAGTTATATTTGAGTAAAAAGAATATGGCGGTCCCTCGGGGCCACTCACAGGCCCTCAGAACAACTAAGAAACGCTATTTTGGTATCAAATGGTGGACACTCATACTGCTTTCTGAGATCACCAGTATGCAACATATGCAAGAATCTGCAAAAACACAAGCAGGCACAAAAGGCAAGACAATATACTACACAGCATTTCATGTTTACGGAAATGATCTTCTATTGTTCTTTTTATTTTTAGAGTAAAACTCCCAGATTAGTCTAATTTAATACTCAAAAGAACAAACTTCCTGATGCCACATGGATGGTATCAAAACAAATTTTAATAGAGTATTGCTAAACCAATAATATATAAGGTAATGGGGGTAAAAGGAGGTCCTATTTTGTTTTTATCCAAACCTACATGGCTCTGTGTGAAAGAAGTAATTTCCCCCCTTTTATTAAATGATGAATTACCTGTCATTAACTATATTTTTGGAAAGCTTATCCACCAATTTCACTAGCCAGATCCAGGCCTTATTACTGCCAGACCTGCTGTATCAAGAAATCACTTAAAAAGAACCTGTCGACTTAAATGAAAATGAAATCATCATTTAAAAACATATTTTGTATTATTTAGGTTCTCTATCTAATATAAAAAAAAAATTAAGTTTCATGAAAGTTTCATTGTGACAAATATGCAAAAAAAAACAAGAAATCAGGATTTGGTAAAACATGTTTTAGACTGTTCAATCGAGCAATTAGGTGGATGTTTATAATAAACATGACCAAGTTTTAAAATTATCAGGTCACCGGAGGTGGAAAAAGTACAGAGATTCTGTACTTAAGTAGAAGTACAGATATTAGTATTAAAAAATACTATTAAAAAGTATTAAAAAAATACTGTGTGTGATTTCCTGTGTTACTGTTTAGGCTCAGATGGGTTTGATGTTTTAAGGCTCGCACTGACATGAAATAATAACTCCCCTCATATAAGAAATATAAGAATAGTTTTGAACTGTGAGCTCAAGAAAAAAAAGCTGGTAATGAGCATTCTTCGGAAATAAGCTCATAGATACCGATATAACGTCAACATAATAATCATTTTTTACAAAATGTCCACACTTTTTAAAAAAATAAATTATGTTATGTATATACATATATTAAGTGGGTTATATGGTGTATATTAAAACTCAAAATCTAATGCGTTATCATATTTATGTCTGTTGAAATAATTTAAATAATAATAATTAGCTTGAGCGACAATTAAAACTGGCTAGCCCAGAACAACTCACCACAGAGCTTGGGGAATAGTGTATAGTTAAATATTTAGTCCAGTAATGACTTTATTGCCAGACAACCTGGACCCGAGCATACCTAAAGAAGGACAACATCTAGAACAGCTGCTTCAAAGGGTTTGGGTCTATTTTGGGTCTGTCGCCCATATCCCAAAGTTCTCCATTCCTTCCTTTGTTTAAGAAATTCAGAAGGGTAGTTCTGTGTTTGCTGTTGAGTGTGTTTGCATATGTTGAGCATACATCACTTTTATTCCCTCAGTCCTTGGTAAACACTTTGAGCTTGACAGTGGTCCAGTGCGTAGAGGTATGTGACTGATTTGGCTAATGATTAAACCATTGGAGGTGGACTATAAGGGCAGGAAACAGAAATATTTTATAATGTTCAGATTTCTGAAGATATTTATCACAAGGCTGCTGTTTAAACTCATAAAATTTATGGACACATTGGCAATAAATCAGTGCAGCCAGGAATGAGAAACACATGCTAGTATATTCATTGCCAAGTTGATCAAGTTTTCAGTCTTCACATACCACGGGTATGCATTTTTAAAATGATGAGAAAAGATGATTTGGCAGTCAAAACTTTGAATATTTGGGTTCTTGGTTTGAGCCTTAGATTTCAAATTTCATCTATTCACACGCATTCATACAACACTAAGCACCTTTAACTTAACGTTCAAACGCTCTGACAGATGCATCAGGGACAACTCAGGGTTCAGTACTTTGCCCAAAGACATTTCAGCATGGATGTTGGAGGAGCCACGGATAAGTAGACCTGCCCACCTCTTGAGCCACCCTCTATTGCAACTCCTCATATTATCTTAATATGGCTTA